TGGGGGATGTGGAGAGCCGGGGGGGAAAAAACCCCTCTGGAAATGGTGTCAGGAGCCTGTTTGGCATCTCGCAGTATGTGAGCTATTTCAGGTATGTTTGCTAAACCTCTCCGTTACTTGCCAGCACATGGTATAGCTATGCCTGTGTGCGCTGCATGACGTATAGAAGAGGACGTGTATCCTGGTGCAGTGACACACAGGTTTCCTTCAAATCTATCATGTCAGGCCCCCATGTACAGCAGAGGAAAACGAGATGTCGTGGCGGTTTGCTGTTCTGGTCGATGCAAACTGTATTTAGACTTGAGCAGCTCTTGGACATCTGAGAAGTGGGAATGATTTTTCTTGTTGCTTTTCTTTATGTAGCACAAATCACAAATAGCACAAGCCCTCTGTTACCCCTCTCCCCTCCCTGTCAATCCATGTGCTTAGAATACACAGCTGAATCCAGGCAAAAATTTTGGAAAATCTCTGCTGGGGGGAAGACACATTGTCTGATGCCTTCCTTAATTAGAACATACACTTGATTTGTCTATCGTGGAACGTGAAAGGCATTTGTGTGTTAAGCAAATACTTAATAAAGGCTTATTTTAACCCTGCACAAATGTATGCACCGGCGGCTGCTGCCTGCTGGGATCCAGCCCGGGGCCGGGTGCCTCCGGTCCGTGGGGCCCCAGGGCTGCAGCGAGGGGAGCAGCTGGCTGACCGGAGAACCACCGGTGGTACCCTGGTTGTAACGATCCCGGGGTTGTTTAATCCCGGGAAGGCTGCTTGCTGTCACCGGGGTGTTCTGTGGAGGAGCTCTGCGTTGGATCGCACCCTTGGCTTCAGGCAGAAACTTCGGTGTCCTTAGGAAGTCGATGAGAAGCCGTGTGTTTGAATGGTAACGTCAGCGCCCGGGCTTGGCTTGTGCTTAGGTCGTGTCCGTTTGCCCACATTACAGAGAAGGATCAGAGCGCTCCTTCTTGCTGTAAACTGCCTGCACGGCTTCCGAAGGACGCGTGTCTGTAGGTCGGACTTTGCTGCTCATCAGCGGGATGACTGTGGCTTGAAATCATAGCTGGTGTCAAGTAGGGAAGGATTTCAGCTGGTCCGAAGACATTGGAGTGAGTTTATGTGGAAATATGAAGAGTAACGTCCATGCAGAGCAAAGTTTGTCTTTTGTGTCTGATTGTTATTTTTCTTCTATTTTCTACTAGCACAGACAGTTTTTATTGCAGGTTTATTTTGTTGTAAATTGGGTTTTTCTCAGGTTTGAAAATCCCTTATTTTAGTAGCTATTTTAGCGTAACTAAATGCTGATTGAATTGGGATTCTTAAAGAAACCATTAACAAACTGGCATGGTTTTCTTGTTATGCTTGGCAGAGAGACTGGCTGCTGCTATTTCATAAAATTGTGAGCATATCGTGTTCAGGGTTTAAACACCTAGAGTTTGACTTGCACAGGGAAGTGATAAGCTAGTCATTAGTGCTTGGAGTCGTGTTACAGCTTTTCTCTCATTCTGCAGCTATGGTAAAGTAAAACATGAAGGAAAAGAACAAGGTATCCCAGGTGGTCTTCTAATTGTTGAAACAATTAAAGTACGACAACCTGATAACACTAATAAGGTTGTTTGCATGAATAGACTGCTTGTTAATATATGCCTTTATTCAGGTTGTTCTTGATGTTGAAGTGCAGTATACGTTTCTCTTTACAGATTTCATAAGGAGAAATCGATGCAGGTTGGACATTGACCTTTTCTTCTGAAAGGTTGATTTATCTTGGAGAAGATAAGTTAGAACTTTTAACATCTCCGGTACAGCTCTGATGTCTGTACAAGAACTAAAACTCAGTTTGACAATACATTGAAATACTTTGATAAGCGTATTGGAAATACAGAAGAAGTAACAGCTGTTCAATGTTAGATGGCTTCTTGAACACAAATCATATTAGGCTAATGCTTTTAGAGTTTATCGCAGAGTTCAGACTAATTAACAGATGAAAAGAAAGCTTGATACTTGGCTATTGTAATAAAAGTTGTGATAACTTACAGTACAGTTTGGCTCTGTGTTTGTGGACAAAGTTAACCAGTATAGCTCAATTTAAAAAAGGCAAAATACCAATTGTGTGACTAGCAAAGTAGGTCTTGCAATACATATTTTTAACTGTGTAATACACTGCTGTTATTTTGAGGTGTCCAGTTTGAAAAAGAATCCGCTGGAAGATCCAGGTGTTGACAAAATGAAACCATTTTCTGCATATTCTTAGAGTGTTCCATCATTGTGCAAGTGAGAACACTGAAAACTACACCTGGATTAATAAAAAATATGTATCTCTGGGGTACTTGAGGCCTGTGTTGCTGTTGTATTAGTATGCCATGAACTGACTCCACCCATGTGCAGTGTTGGTGTTTAGTATGTGCTGTCAAACCGCTTTATAAATCGTGGTTTAGTACGGATATAGCACAGCTTAATTTTAGAGCATGCCTTCCAAGGAAACTTTGATTTTGTTATTTTGTGTAGACAGGGAGCTAACTGTTACAGTTTCAAAAAAGTTGTGAGAAAGAAATGCAGAATTGCATTTGCTTGCTCTCTTGCACTGAATTAATTTTTCTTACAATAATTTCTCAGACCAGTTCTAGATTTTGGCGAGGGTTTATTTCTGAAACTTCATAGTGTTCTAAGTAAACTGTACTACATTTTCAAAGATCTTTTTAGAATCGAGATTTTATCAGAGATATCTGGCAAAGGTATGACCTCCATTAGTTTGCCGTCTTAGTTGCTTTTTATTTTGTCATGGGGATTTGACACTGAGTGTAACTACTGCGTGTTTATTTGGGACATTCTCCTCTGAAAAAGCACGTTCGGTTTTGCATAGATGGTAAAAATATTTTTGTAACCAGTAGATAGCTTCATGAGGTGGTCATCAAAATAGTTTCCCACTCTTTATCTTCTGAGTCCAAAGAAAATTTCTCGGATCTTTCCTACTGCTTTCAGCTTAATAAATTATTGCTCTTCGTACAAGGTTTATCCTCTTTATACAGTTTAATAATACTTGAGCAAAATGTTCGGAGTTATCTTTTTGCCTTTTTATATTATAGTGAAATGTACTGCCGTTTGTTTTGTGGTATGGTGTTACCTGTAAAGACTGCAAAATTAATTTCTGCCTATGTGTGATCAAAAAGAAAATTTGAATTTTTTAAAGAAATTGTTATAGATTAAAATGCATAGGTATTTTACTTCTGTGAGTATCAATAATAAAAAGTTTTGTCTTCTGACATTGAAGTTGGCAGTCATGTGGGCTGTGAGCTTTCCTGGCTTTGTGAAAAACCTGTAATTACACGTAGTCTGTTTCATAGCTGTTTGCCCAGGTTTGAAGCTAGAGAACATTAACAAGGCAAGCATAACAGCATGGAAGACTTCGGGTGAAGTAGCTTCCCTTAAATGAGTTCTACTTCATTGCCATATCCAATTTGCAGAATTGGGACAGCCTATTTAATGCCTCAGGAAGAGTAGGATCTACATAAGGTGAATTTTGTACTTGAATGCTTTATTGCCATACCCTCACCTCTTTATTCTCACAGGGGGTTGGGAGGGAAGTCCATTTTCCAGGCCTCTTTTATGCTTCATGAAAGAGCAGAAGCCTACAGTTCAATTTCTAGTGACCCTTACATCAAGCCTGGTTATGTAAGGGTATCTGTTCTGTAAAGTGATGGAGTGATTTATCATGCATAAAATAGATTAGATGATTTCATAATCTCATCTATGTGAAATCTGTGGAGGAAAAAAGCCACAAAATAGTTTTTGTCTCCTTTTACACATAACCCTTTAATAGCTAGAAGTTCTTCTAAGCCCATACAAGATATAGGATGTATGGGCTTTCCTATTTTATGTGCTTTCTAGGCCACCATGTATATAAATGAATTTCCTGTCTAGCTGCTGAATAGTAGTAGTTAACAGCAGTGTTTGGTTGCCCTCACTTAGATATGGTCAAAAGCCTTCAAATGTACATTTGAAAGGCCTTTCAAACATGTTTGTAGTAGTTTAAGAAGCTATGCTTAGGAGTGGTTAGTTTAGATTTAATGACATTTGCCATACAGGTATTCGTAGAACTACGCTTTCAGTGTTTCCGCCTTTCACTAAGACACTGTCAGGGTCTCAGCAAAAGTGTTGCCGTGGCTGAGTCTACAAGTTGGGCCTGTCCTCTCTGCTGCTTGCACAGTCCTGTCTTCCTCTCCTGTGCTGGCAGTCGCGCTTCTGCGCTCCTGGGCACTCCCTTCCGTAGAGGTGGTCTTCAATTAGTGCAGTACCTTGAACCAGCTTGCTGTCCTGGCGCGAGATGAAAACTGGGACCTGAAAAGTTCAGACATAGTTTCACAATAGATTTACAGCCTTACAATATAGACGCCTGCACCTGGTTTTCATGGTATTTATTTATAGGGTTTAACTGTGAAGTTACTGACTTCTTGGGTATGAAACTACCTTTTCGCCTTTCTCCCATGCCTCTGAAGAAACTAGCTGGAGTGCTCTTACACTTGAGAAGAATTATAAGGTGTCAATGCATGACAGTGGGTTTTTTTAGGCAATTCAACTAATGAGTGTTTGGCAGGAGAATACTTGGTATGCGGGTCTGATGTGCTAATATACCATGTGTTCGTAGTCTGGAAAGTCTTGCTGCTCATTCTGCAGAAGGTTCTATATACTGAATCTGTCAACAAATTTCAGGGCTGAAAGTGTTAATCTTGCTAACGTTGATTCAGCATTGTGTTTGGAGGTGGACTTAAAATGAATAAAACAAAATCAGTCTTATTTTCTAATTCTGAGTGTGTAAGGTATGCTGTATCTAATTCTGAGTGTGTAAGGTATGTTGTAGAGTATTTTAATGATGAGAAATAAATTATTTGCTGTGGAACTGCATTTCACTAGTATTTCTTTTGACTGCCATTTTTTCTCTTTAGAGGACTTTTCTGTAGTTAATATTGCAATTCTTGATTAAAAATAAATTTTTATGTTTTTTTAAATAGCTCGCAGGAGTCCTAGATGATTGTTTATGTGACATAGAAAGCATCGATGACTTCAATACTTTCAAGATCTTCCCCAAAATACAGAAACTGCAAGAACGCGATTACTTCAGATATTACAAGGTACAATTAGAATGGTATTTTCCTGAATCATTTAAATAAAATCCAGAATATATAGGGAGGATTACATATCAAATCAACTTGTCTATATTAAGTTGTTTTATAGAAGCCCACAGCTCTTTAATTTGGTTGTAGCAGGTTTTCAGTCCCTGACAGTTATGTTGGTAATAAGTCATGGTTGCTGTGTTAATCCTGAGTCAGTGACAGTACATCATGACTGCTTTCATTCAACTGATAAGTGGTAATTTTAAAGGTAGTATCTTGTACTGCTACATTTAGAAAAGATTTGTATTTTAGCAACTTTCTGACAGCGTGCAGTACTTGTCTTCTAAGAAAGGTGCGTAATTTGACATGGAAATATTGCAATGATTTCCTTTTCTTATAAGTTGCTGTCTTAGTTCTGATTTTAGTGTTTGTTGTCTAAAGAACCATTATTATTTTGAAAAATAGGTTAAAATATTCAATTTTAAAGTAGTATGTAATATCACTTTTTAGTGATTTTAAACATTTTTTTTCTCTGTATTAGAATTTGATGAGCAAAATAAGACTTTGAAGCCTGATACTTCTGTTTTCAGATATGCTTAACTCGAAAATGAGGTTGCATTTTGACTGAGCTAATCAGAAGGTTGCCTGCCACTGGAAAAAGGAGGTTGAACTCCTTTAGGGTAGACTGTCCTGCTGCTTCCCTATTTCTAGCTCTAGGGCCTGTCTGACGGCGCATTAGGCCAATGCACCTCTTTAACCTGGTAGATTTTTAGTTTGGATGTTTGGGTTTGGTTGTTGGTTTGTTTTTTGTTTGTTTGTTTGTTTTTCCCCCAGGATGTAGCACATTATCTGGCTGATCTGGAATCAGACGAGTGTTAAACTGATGCAGGATGGGGTTATGAACGTGAGGAAGGAGAAAAAAGTGCTAGAATCTACCCTTTCTAGTCTGAGCAAGCAGTAATGTGTAATTTCATCCTGACTCTCCTCCTGCTACACAATACAGTTCTAATGTCACTTTTCAGGAGAAACAAGATACATGCAACTTCTGTGATAATACATTACATAGTAGTGGTAAATAGATTCTCCAGAGGCAACAGAAAGATACAAAACAAAGTATTTGAACAAGAGGAGCAACAGGTATACAAGGTTTTGTGTAACAGTAATTTCATCCTGTGAATGTAGAGTTAGTCTTCGTTTCAACAGCAGTTCTGCAAATCATACTTAAATGGTGTGTTGCAGTCCTACCTCATCTTTCGTACTGGTCTTCCTAATGGATGGGCAATTATAAGGGCCAGCGTGCAGCCCACCCGTCACCACACATTATTTAGTACTTCCGCTTGTGACAGGGAAGAATCTGTGTTGAACAAGCAAACTGAGTAGGTCAGAATGTTTTTCACCCTTTCCTCTCTGAATAAGGAACGGACTTTTTTTATGCCCCTGCACAGAATCATGGAAGTGCTGTTAAGCAAATAGATGGATGTGGAAATTGTGAGGGTAGGCAATCATCATCTAGGTCAACTACAGCATAGCTAAATACTGAATAAGCATAGGGGGAATATACTTGTTCTGGGAGTGAAAACGCTCTTACTCTGAACTAATTACATTTGTAATAGGGATTTTGATCGTGAACTTCTGTAACTACAGTCACAGTGTTCCCATTGTGTTACTAGTTCGATAGCCATGAAAGAACTTAAACTTTAGTGTATAATATTGAATGAACTAGCTAGTTTTTATTTAAAGTCTTGCTGAAATTGTGTGAAGTGGCTTCTAGACAGTTAGTGGAACACTTCTCAGTGAAAGAAATAAAAGAATAAAAGATTTTCTTTTTATATGGTTTTATACATCAAAACACAGAAACTATGGAAGCCTCGTGATAAGGAGTTTAATTTTCAGTCTGTGACAGTTATTGAATAATACTCTGAACGATAATAACGATATCTAATACTTCAGACCCTGAAGAAAATAGAAAGATGTTCTATGTAGTCAGTGCCTGACTGGCATTGATTAAAGTACAAGTACTTCTGTACAACCTCAGTTTGTCTCAGAAGTGTGTGTGTGCGCATGTGCACTGGTTTTTAGTGCTCTTGAATCATTTTGGGACTAGTGTACCTTGATTTACAGGTGTTTTTTCTGAATTAATCTGTAGTTCAGACAGCACTATTTTGTTATTTACAGAGTTCCTCTGTGTAAGAGCAGCAACTGCCTAGTTACTTGTATCTTCCTATGAGTGTGTAACCAGTTTTTATTGTTACAGTTTACTTTGAAGAAGGTTGTAGTCTAATTATGTTAGCTGGTCTTTTTTTTGGTAGAAATTGAGGGGGGGCATATTTTATATAATAGGTCTTATTGTGAAGGTGATGTAAAATCTAAGACTTTTTTGTGCTTTATTTTAAAAAAAAAAAAGATGAGTGAACAAGTACAAAAAATTCTAAAATTTTATATATTGTTTTTTCCTAGGGATGGTGTTTGTGGATTTGGGGGCGGGGAGAAAGCAGAAATCTCTGCTTTTGATGTATCTGTGCTAGCATGGCTTGAACTGTAACTGGAAGATAGTTGTCACCACTCCTAAGAAGTCGCACCATCTGCTTAAAGTCTTGTTAGGTTTTTGACTGAGGAATCTCTTTAACATTTTAAAGCTGAATTTATAATTCCCAGTCATGCTGAATAAGTACATCAAAATAGAAACCTGGAAAAGAGCCTTTCCTTCAGATGTTAAATAGCAGTTAGCTTTGTATGCATGTTTTGAAAATACAGAAAGAACTTACTTGCTGAAAGGTTTGGTAGAGGAATTTAGTATAATAAAGGGCAGTGGAGCAAGTTAAATATTAAGTTTTGCTCTTTGGGGATCTTTTGTGGTATAGAAAGAACATTTCTTTTTGTTTTGCTTTAATTTGGGTACGTAGTGCCACAGAACAGCTTATCCTTCAAGCATTAAAGGTTGTTTTTTTATTTCCGGTACATAGTTTTGATTTTTCTTAGCTGTCAAAATTAAGAAAATAGACTAGAGGGAGAGTAAAATCTGGCTATAGTTTGTCTCAGATTCTTCATATTGTGCCTGCTTTGTTGATCTAGTTTTCTTTATACGTAGTATATTATGTATATTACTAGGGGGGAAAAAAAAAGAGTCTTTTTTTAATGTATATATATGCTGAGGTTCTGGTTGGACAATTCAGTGAATGTGGCCATTGGGCTTCTATTACTGTCTTCCCCTAAAAACCAGGCCACCTAAAGCAAATCACTGATCCAGTGTAAATGCACTCTGCCAGTTAAATGTGTTCAAAGCATAAAGTTTTTTTTTAATGGAATAATTGTTCAGGACAGCTCAGTGGTATCATTTAATCTCCAAATTAAAAGATTGAGTAGTGTGTTTCGTTTATCATAGCAGGAACCCTTCAAGTACCACATGTAGTGGACTCCAAGTTCATCAGAGCGTGGGATTTAGAGTTCAGTTGCCAATTCTTTGCCTAAGGGGCTGCTCTGGCACTACTGTACTAGATGTTTAAGCTTTGTTTCCACTCTATGTTTCTCCTAATGTGATGTGAAAGTATAATATATAAATTCCATGAATTAGAAAAGTGTTCCTACATATAAGGGAAAATAATGTTTTTCTGAAGGCTAAATTGATGAAGTGTTTAATCTCAATATTTCAACCTATTAAGTATAGTGGGAGTACTGTTCATTATAGTGTGTGGCTGTGAATTCACTGTACAGCTTGTATGTATTTTTTCCATAAGCTAGTGTAAGCATTAGTTTTCTGACTTAAGACTTGTAGATTTAAATAATTTTTATAAGCATGTTTAGAATTCTTGAATTTTTGTGTTGAAACTACTCTAGGGCCTGATGCCGTCCTTGAGGTATTAGGCTTAATTTCACAGTGCGTTTTATATGCCGTGCCTCACTAGAATAAAATTCAATATCTGCAGTGGTTTCAACTAAGAAGTGATAACATCAAATCATTCAAGATGCAGTTTGTTGGATATAAGTAGTGACTTCAGTTGAGTATCTTCATGAATAGTATTTATCAGCTGAAGAAAACTACTACAAGCTGTGCTAAAGCAAAACAAAGTAAAAGAATAGAAGTAATTTTGGGTTTGTGTTTTTGTTTTATTTTTACTTTGAAAGTTTTAAAACTGACTTTTTATCTGAAAATAGTGGTTCCTACGGAGGTTAAATGCTTTGTATTTTATTTGTAATGTTAGATTTCAAAGACGATGTACTTCTGCGGTGTTTCTGGTTGATCATGTGGGAAAACCTTTAGTCTGTAGTCTTCCGTTTAGGAGTGATGAGGTCAAAGTGGTTTTTATCACTAATGTTTGTTAGTATGTATAAGGCTAATGTAAAGGGAAGCTGGAATTTTTTTTATTTCCTTCACTTTCACATTGACAATCCAAGTGAAGTGTAGTAAAGTGTTTAAATCGCTTGCTGTGTAGTACATAATAATATCTGTGTACTCCATGCCTTTATTGTGCCATTTGATGACAAATAGGAGCGCTAATGATCACAGAATTTGCTGGTAATGTTTTTGAAGTAGTTTCTCTTCATTATTTATATTTGTACAGTATCAGCTCTCTAATTTGAGGCCGTTAGTGATACTCATTCTTCCTTGACTAGCTATGATGTCTGGTAATGATTGCCTGCTTTTATTGCTTGAAATCTGAAATCATCTAAGCACTTACTTGCATTAGTAAATCTGCGCAGTAGTCTGTCCTCCATCAAATGTATTTTCTTGCTCAGTGTAGTAGTGGTGCAATTGATTGTAAGGACAACCATTTTGGAGCTGCATATGTCTGATTTGCCACCTTTGTAGTAGTTTGTTTACTGCTTTGAAGTTGTACTAGTGGTACGAGATTTAATTTGTGCTTTAATATACTATGTGTTTGTGTCCACTGGAGATCATTGTCACTAACAATTCCACTGCAGCAAGCTTCAGCTTATATACTCCGGGGCAGAGTAGTTCTCTCAGTTTGAAAGGATTTCCTGATACTGAGAGCTCTTTCTTGTGAAGTTGCCTTATGTAAGTGTTGATTGTAAACTTTTGGTTTTGTATGTTTAGGTCAACCTGAAGAGACCATGCCCATTTTGGGCTGATGATGGCCATTGTTCTATCAAAGATTGTCACGTAGAGCCTTGTCCTGAGGTATGGATCAAATAAGATATAATTGAAAAAGGTTATTTGGTTATAAACTTTGCTGATTTGCAGTGACTAATACTATACTAACAATATTTACTAATGGGAACTTAATTTTAAATAAAAGATTGACAATAAAACTATTTTCCATTTCAAAAGCAGAAATACCAGAAGTGTTTTAAGGTTTAGTCACTTTACCAATAAAACAAATAACTTTAAGCATAAGTCTCTTCTAAGCTTTAGCACTATTTTGGATATAACGTGTTGAGAAAGGTAAAGGAGCAAGTTTAGTTATTTGAAAACAAGTCTGCTTTGACCTCTGTAGGGATTATATTTAATTTGTAGATTTTAATCAATCATTTCTATGAACAGTGTAAAAAACGTGATTTATTTTTTGGTTTTAGAGCAAAATACCTGTTGGAATTAAGGCTGGGAGCTCTAATAAAGTAAGTGGTCATTTGCTTTCTAAGTTCTTTCTGATTTATTTTTTTAAATGTTACCATTACAGTTGCTCTGACTTTATTACAAACCTTCAGTCTTGACATAGTAGTGAAACTGTTAACATAACTGATTAGTTCCTGCATGTGGCTTTGCATTTTTACTTTTACGTATAGTAGTGTTTCTGACATAACTGGTACTGTCATGTCGTTCTGAGTCTGTCATAGCTTGAGATCTGGTGCAGACTGAGTCGATGAATGACCAGGGACAGCAGTACATGGCCACAGAATGCCTGATGCAAAATTCTGCATTCGTTTCCGAGTACAGGTCACCTTGTATAAAGCCATAGGCTAAGATGCACAGATGCAGTAGCAGTCCAGTCTTTTGGAAAATTAAGAGAATATTCTTTTTGTTTTGCTTTAATTTGGGTACGTAGTGCCACAGAACAGCTTATCCTTCAAGCATTAAAGGTTGTTTTTTTATTTCCGGTACATAGTTTTGATTTTTCTTAGCTGTCAAAATTAAGAGAATAGACTAGAGGGAGAGTAAAATCTGGCTATAGTTTGTCTCAGATTCTTCATATTGTGCCTGCTTTGTATCAGAGGAATGCTGATCTAGTTTTCCTTATACGTAGTATATTATGTATATTACTAGGGGGAAAAAATTGAAATTTTTTTTTATATGCTGAGGTTCTGCTGTGTTCCTTTGTATTTGTTCTGGCAAATGCATTTTTAAAGCAAGTTGTCTCGCTTACTCATCTGAACAATTTTAATTAAATCCTTTCTTTTTTTGAGAAGTGTCGTGGTATGTATTGTGGTGGTACTTTGGCATCTTGACCACAAGTCTGTCCTCAGAAATGAAGTATTCTCTTTCTTTTAAAATGTATGAAATTATTATTGTTGTTTGCTATTTCTGAAGGGTGTATCAAAGCCTTTCACTTACATTTTTATTTTGAGCTGGTTTTGGCTAGTAATCCTTCATGTCAACATGTTTGTGCCCTGAAGTGAAGGGAAGCCAGCAGTTTAGCTTTATATAAGCTATCAGTTACTTAACATTAAGTCATTTTCTGTATTTAAGGACTGTGATAAGGCAGAAATCTATGTAAACCTAAGGCTCAGTCTGCAAAAGAAAACACACAAAAAAAAAAACCCAACCAAAAAACCCCATAAAAGAGGAACTTGGGGTTTTTTATCTTTCAGGAGCTCTGATACTGTCTATTGTGTTTCAAAACCGTTAGAAGGATTTTTTGAGCTTTAAGCTGACAGACTTAAATTCCCTGCTGACATAACCATATGATTGTAGAATAGTGGAATTTAATCTTTAATTCGTCAAATGTTTTCCGTACAAGTATTCTAACAGTGAGACGATTTTAGTGGATTACTTTTTTTAAAAATGCTGTAGAATCAGAGTTCAGCTTAAATACTTCAATTCTGGCTTTAAAATAATCAAAATTTGCCTTTAGCTTGAAAAGCCTATCTTCCAGACATGTGCACATCTAAAGCATGTCAATGAATATGATTAAATGAAACATGAGGGGAAAATGGCCAAAACTGATACATTTTCCTACTGAAATGACCAAGGAAACTTGGGGTATGATTATGCTTGCAGAATACAAGGTATATTTATAGGTATGACGCTACTTGTCTTCCAAGGTCCTTTTACAAGAATGCAACGACGTATCTGAAGCTCTTCAGAACTCCATTTAATTTAAATGAATAGCTGAAGTCTCTGTGGTGGTCAAATCCACAGGGTGAAATTGGCTTGATGAGATTAAGTGAAGAAAAATAGAAATAAGAAATATTCTGGAATTACTTACTGTTTCTAGGATCTGAGGGGTTTCCCTGATACTAGCCAGTTCACTACTAGACGTAGAAATGCCTTTCACAGCACCTATTCTCAGAGAATTTAGGTAACTCACTTGTATATTAAATATGAACTTTCTTACAGTATTCAAAAGCAGCAAATAATTCCAAAGAACTGGAAGACTGTGAGCAAGCTAACAAACTGGGAGCTGTTAACAGTACCTTAAGGTATGCTGTGATTTACAACAATAGTACAAAAATAGTAACAAAGGAGCATTTCATTTTGTCAGTCTTGTTTTTGGAATGTGCTGTTTTTTGTTCTTCATTCTTTCCATAGCCCATTAGAAACTAAATGTGAAATGATGCAAGAACATCTGAAGGTAAGGGTGTTAAGTGAGAAGTAACTTTAAAAAAAAACCCTACACTTTGATATTATTTGAAAGATGTATCTCGTAGCATCAAGAGTCGGAGGAAACTTGCAAATAAACCCACCTTTTTCCTACTTTTTACTAGTATCACTCTTTGTTCTTGATGACTGTGCTGGATTAAGGAATTCTGTCCTTCTCTGTCCCTCTGTTACACTGATGTGCCTGTTTGTGATCGTTCAGTGAACCAGATCAGGGAGCTTGTGAGTTCCTTTTGTGGTCAGTAAAGTTATTTTTAGCTTGGATCAATTCCCTGATCTTGCTTATTGCACGGCACAGTCAAGGTTCGGTGGGAGGAATTCTGCAGGATGGTGTTGCCCCTGACTAGGAAAGTGTGTGGAACAGTACTTAGAAAAAACTTGCATTCTACTAGACTCCCCACCTTTAAAAAGCAGAAATAGAAAAATCAGTTTTTCAGTGTTGATGGAGAGGTGTGGTCACAGATTTGAGCGGTCCTACCTGATAGAGATGTTGAAACTCTTTCCTGTCGTCTGACAAAATGGGACTGCCATGAAAAAGTGACTGCTGCTGCCTGGTGTGTAGTGTGTTAAACCAAACTGGGTAGAGCCCTTATCCGAGTTTTTTTAGGGGAAATAAGGAACTATTAACTCTTTTCCACTACTGTAGGGCAAAAGAAATATAAAATTGAGTACACATACGGAGAGCTAAAGAGAATGCCTTTTGTGAGAGTAGCGTGGGAGATTAAAGTTCGGGGAGAGCAGGTAATGGACCCTGCAAGTGCTGGAATTTGTGCTTTGTAGGCAAACCTCCTTGTTCTCTACCTAGCAGTGCACCATCCTCATGGTTTTGGGTTATTTTCCTTTATCAGCTGTGTTTCTTGTGATTATCAAATCTTGCCTGCTTGTAGTTACTGGAGAAGTTCCTCGCCTAATGCCAAGTGTGAAGTCTCCTGTTGTGATTTGGCAGGATGTTAGAAATGTATCCTGTTGTAGAATTGCCTCTGTAGAGTTGAGCTAGTACTGATTTGATCAAACGCAACAGGTTGGTTTCATTATTTCAGGGTGCTCCACTGCACCCTGCAGCAGAGTTTCCAGTCTTAACTTTGCTTATGTTTTGCTATCAGTAGTGTGGCATCAGGGGTTCTGTGCCACACATATGCGTAGAAGAAAGCATTCTTTGTGTTTCATAACATGCGAACGTTGAAGAACTTGTCTCTCTGGTACAGTACACCTTTGAAAATGCTAGGGTGAGTTGAATACCATTATTATTTAAAAGGCTTAAGACAAATCATAGAGTAATTTAGCTTGGAAGGGGTGTTTAAACATCCAGTCTCCCACTAAAAAGCAAGGCTAATTATTGTAGATATCATTGAAAGGTTACGAAAATATGATGATCCCTCCGCCCCCCCCTCAAGTGACAGCTGCTAAAGTAGTACTGTGAAAAGTGTTGAAAATGTATGCTGTAAAAGTATTTTACCAAACTCTTACTGAAGGAAGAGAGAGGTCAGTGCTGCTGCACATTTTGTTCAAATAACAATGGCAAAATCTTTCTTACTGTCTAACATTAAGATGACTTTTTAAAATATTGCAGTTGATGCCTGCTGGAATCTCTGTGCAGCTGAGAAGCGGTAACTCCATATATTCTCAAGTTTCAGATACAGTAATTCAGAATTCAGTTCCAAGTTAACTACTGTATGTGGATTGTGTTTCTTTCGGTAGCTCTTATTGATGTTGTTTATTTAAAAGTTTAAAATCAAATGTATTTTTTTCCCCTCAGTAACCAAAGTAAGGAGGCTTTCATTGACTGGGCAAGATACGATGATTCACAGGATCATTTTTGTGAACTTGATGGTAAAATGTTTAAGCTTTTTCAGAGTGTTTGTTTTATTTTCTGTCTCTTAAAAAACACAAAAGATTGTAGTTTCTCTGCAAATAACCATTCTAAAAACGTTTTAGTTTTGTGCTGAATGGGGATGTGACAGTTCATACCATTTTACAAACAAAGAATGCAGTTTTTTACAAGGAGCGTTTGGTAGTCTATACAGTGCACATTCACGGTTACCTCCTGTTGGTATAGTGAACAGGAGACTTTTATGGAAGTAAAAAAAAAAGATAAATGGGAGAAGGTTAGCATATATTTTTTAAAAAGCTTCTTCTCGCAGAAGAGTTGCATCTAGCTCAAATATAAGACAAATTACTTGCAGCTGATTCAGTTTCTTACTACTGTATTATTTTGTTGCTATTCTGCTGTCTATGCTTGGACTGAGTTTGTTCCTCTTCCAGCCTTGCTGTGTTTCCAAATGATCTCTGCACTAAGTGCACCCTTATTTGTAAGAACTTTCTTATTGGTAAAACATTGGGATACTAGATTGTGTCTTCCCTCTGCTCCACATGTGTGAGTGTGTTTATTTGCTCGTAACATTCAAAGCTCAAAGGAGTGTTTTTCAGATAAACATGAGGATTGCCAAGTTCGGGAATGACTGCTAAAGACCTTTTTAATAAATACTTTAGAAAGCTTTCGATGCTAGGAAGACTTGGGGCGTAATGCAAGATGTTTTAATCTACCTTTAGGCTAATGTTTGGTGTCACCTGAGAAAGTAGCAGCTGTAGTGGACTTACCAGCCTTGGTTCTCTTTCAGCACTTCTGCGTCTTACCTGTGAAAATTTTGTATGTAAGCTGTTTCTGTAATAAATAGTCATTGAGTATAACTGTAGATCTGAACTGTTATATGCAATAAGCTGCTGTTGTCTCTACTATCTTCAAGCTGCCTACTTACAGTTTTAAGAGGACTCAGCTGGGAAAGGTGTAGTGCAGGAGCATTTCTTTTAGAAGTAATACTAACTTAAGTAGTTGCTGATTCTGCCTCCATCCCTCCTTGCATCGTGCCCTGCTAAAGGAAGATGTACTGCCCCCAGCTGCGTTCTTCCAGTGCTTCTTTTGCACTGGCTCTGGAGTGCATCTTTCTGCATGGTGAGCTGCTTCAGCTTACTCGAATAGCAGGAAATTAAGTTGACATCTCCCTGCTGTCTCCCAAATATGTTGTGATGAACTGGCTTATCAGGTGAGTTTGAGCTGGAGCAGGAGAGGTGAGAGAGAACTACTGGGAGTGACTGGGAGGAGGCAGAAACTCTTGTTCTCTTCCTCTCCTCTCTTCCTGGTAGTGAGAGAGCTCTTAATTCACACAACTGTAGCACAAAAGCATACCAGCTTTACTTTTGACTAGCTTTTTGTTGGGCTTAACAATAAACTGGATAAGGGAATTGATCTAGCTGAAAAAAACTTCATAACCCAGGTCAGCTTTCCATCTTTCTGTTGCACTGCCCCACAGACTCAGTTGTGTGTGGATAACGAGAAGAAAAAGTGGAGACCTGAAGTGACCAGGAAGCGTAGGAACTGCTTAGGTTAGCCATGCTGTCAAAGAAATAAACAAAGCTGTAATTTGACTTTGTCTCATCTGGCACTCACTGTGTTGTTGTGTGTCTTGTGTCTGTCTCTTTTCTTTGTTTTTGCTGCTGCTGCTGAAGCGATGCTTAACTGCTCATGCAGAATCATCTCTTCTTTTTAGAGCAGTTTTCACTTTGTTTCTGTGGCTTCTTTCAACATCTGAGGAAACAGTCAGTGGCACTGCTTGGCCTATTCCTGTGAATAAATCTCTGGACTACTGACTTGTATTGTATGTGGGGACTTTTAAGCATGAGTTGCTCTTGACGTAGAATTTCAGAGGAGGGAGTTCTTCCTGTTTTTTACTGGTTGTAGCTCAAAACATAAGTTTCTATTCATACAGAGTTTTTAAGCAGAGAGAGTAATGTTCCACAGTTGTCTTTGAATATGTTGCCTGAATTTATAGTGAACTTTAGAGATGAGGGTAGAACTTGTTGAGGTGCTGCTTAAATAACATGTTTCTTGCCATAACCAACAGAGCGTTCTGCAATATGCTGAAAGTTTGTTCGATGAAGCAATGCGATCCAGACTTCCTGCTAGTATACAAGGGAATCTGGGGAAAAAGGGGATTTAGCTACTAAATACACAAGATGTGCCAACTACAAGATGCTCTTCTTTGACCAGGTCTTTATTAAGAAGCCCCTGTAGCAGTATACCCATTTCAAACAAAGGCAGCACCCCCAGCCAAACACTGCCGGACAAATAAACCCTGAATCTGAAGCCCATTTAAAAGAAAACACTGTTTGTATCTTAGCTCAGGGTGAGAGAACACATTGCATGGCAAGTGTTTATGGTGGAGTTGAAGAAGCCGCATAGGTGTTCAGACATTGTAGAAATGATGGCCACACAAGAGACTTTGGAATAAATTCTGTACTTTTGAGCTTTATGTAGTGTGTGTATTGCTGTATTTTTATGTACAAGGCATTTATAATCCAGCTGGGAGACAGAATGGTATTATATGAGACTTCTTATTTGTATTTAATTCTGTGTGACTGTTTTTAAAAATTAAATCTTTTTTAAATGATCAGTTAGAATATGTAACAAAAGGTTTCCTGTTTAGATGAGAGATCTCCAGATGCACAGTATGTGGATTTGCTGCTGAATCCAGAACGTTACACTGGATACAAGGGGCCTTCTGCTTGGAGAGTGTGGAACAGCATCTATGAAGAAAACTGCTTCAAGTAATTGGGAGGGAGAGGAAGCCTATTTCTTACACCTGCACTTCAATTTAGCTTAAAACTGATTTTTGTGTTTTTTAACTTATTTTCTAGGCCTCGATCTGTCTATCGTCCTTTAAATCCACTGGCGCCTAGTAGGGGTGGGTCTTGCCTGTTTTATTTTCCAGTGCAGTTCTTTTAACATAGTGACTATTGCAGTACAAGTGATACAAATGGTAATCTTCAGTCTGTAGGTTTGCTTTCTGCTGTTTTAATTTCCTCTGTAGAGGTAGCTGTCCGTTTTCAATATTCAGGCTAAGGTTTGTGATACTTGATTACATACATGCTTAATCTTATGCATATGAATAGGCTTATTAATGTCAGGGAAACTAATGTGAAAACTAAAGTAAGTCTCAAACTGTGTAGTAAGTGTCACTGTAATTTTCCAGTGTGGATGGGAAGGAGTTCAACAAAAGTTTCAGCACTCCTGTATTCTTCCCTTGGGTTTGTTTTTTGTTTTTCTAGAGCATTTAATTTAATCACTTAAGCTCATAGTCATCCTAGTGTAATGTAGCTGTACATTTTCCACCATAATGTTTAGTGTATTA